ATTGTGCCTTACAGCTGATACAGGTGAGCAAAATCCTGGATGTTAAGTTTAGACTGGGAGGTTTCGTGGGGATAGCATTTACTAAGGTGCACTCAGAAGTTTGTATGCAGAAGACCCTCTATTGCTCTGATAAACTCTTAATTTTCATCTTGCGCTGGGCCTACAAATTGTATAGCCATTCCTGAGAATGGTGAGAATTGGTGTCTGTGACCAAATTCAGTCTCTGTGAGAACAGAAGAGACCCACAGAGATTCCAGTGGCCAGGCAGATATTCTTATTTCCAGAAGACAAATTGTTTGCAAACATCAAATAGTAAGATACAAGATAACTGCTGTGTGCTCTGCTCTTACTACTTCCTTCCTCAATACAGCATAAAGAAAAGGACAGAGGGTATCTTACATTGAGAATCAAATGAAATTGAATTGTAATTGGCACATTCTCATTTTTTATATAGTTGGCCCTGTGCATACTTGTTTAAATTCTTCCTTTAAGAGGCCTTTGTGAACTCACGTTAAAATAAATTCTTAAGGCAGATTTCTATTGGTTCCTGCAGAAACTGTCTTTCTGCCTGTTACTACACATAAACTCTGGGTGTGAATTATAGCTACGTTGCCATTAAAGTCAAGCCTTGAGTTGTCTGATTTTGTAAGGCTGAGAGGCTTTTATCTATTTATACTATTTTATCTATTTATATTTTATCTATTCACTGAATGTATTCAAGTAAACGTGAACAATATGCTGTAATATGCTACTGGGATAAAACTAATAGAGCACACACATCTACACACATATCCACCTCCTATGTGTCTTGTGAGTTATTAATTTAAAGTTGCAGCTTCCTATGAACATTTACAGTAAATTGTGTCATTTTTCTTCTCATTTTGGCCAGATACATTAAAAAATATTTCTTGATATTTATGAAATAGATTAGTTCCCTTCTTGCTTTAAATATTCTGCTTAGTGCTGTTCTTGCTCTTAGCTCTAGTATTTTACTTTTACATGGATCTTTTCATATTTTCCTTTCAATTATGGGGAAAGGGAGGTGTGAAACATCATAAAGGATTTGTCCCTTTGTGAGGAATAGAATAAACCTCAAGAAAACCTAAGTTCTTTTTGTTATTTTGTGGCTTCTTCATTCAAATCATTACTAAGACACTTTGTTAAATTACAGCGACCATCCTGCTGTAGGTGGTCATGTGATTTTTATTATTGATCTCACTGAATCATTGGATTTCCCCGTGTAGGTACTGTAGCACTTGGTGCCCAAACTGTAAAGTAACTGTCCCTGGATGATTTTCTCCCGAGAGTCTATTTCCTCTTCTTCCCTGGAGGATCTGATTTCTCCTCCTGCCCGAGAGGTTTCTTCACCATCCTCATCATGGAAGTCAGAAGAGTGATGACGGCAGTGGCAGTAACAGAGGGGGCATAAGATCTGAGTAGATGAGAGGAAAGATGGTCTATTTCCTGGACTATTCAGTGTAGGTTGTGGAAAAAGGAAGAGTGCGAGGTGACTCTAAGATTATGTGTTGGACTGCAGAGGTAGAAGGAGGGGGTCGCCATTTCATGAAATGGTGAAGGCTGAGGGAGGAACAGCCTTCCTGAGGACAGAATAAGATGATGCCAGTGTTGGACGTGGGTGTACTTTTCAGCATTCAAGTGCAGATGCCATTTAGGCAGCGGAATAGGTGAATGTGAAGGTTCAAGGCTAGGTTTCACCTACTTCTGCACATACTGGATGGTAGCCATTCACCACATGTGGTTAAGCTTAAATTTGACTTAAGCTGGAAATCACTTTGACATTGAACATATAGGAAATAAGAAGGATCCAGCAAAAGAAACTAGGAATAAAGGCCAGTGAAGTTGGAAAAAAGCAGAATGAGATTCTGGTGGCAGAGAAAAGAAAGGAAGTGATCAGCTATATCTAATGCTAGTGACTGGTTGATAATGAGGAGGACAGTTAATTATTTAGTGTGACACCCTACCCTTGAAAGAACAATTTCAAAGACATGATGCGGAGGAAGATCTGAGAAAGAACACGGGGAAAATAAGGAAACATGGAGACAGAAAGTAAAAACAACCTAGAGGATTTTTTTGTTGTTATTACAGAGGGAAACAGAAAAATAGGGCACAAGGTAGAGGGATGTACAGAATTCAGATAATGTTTTGTCTTAGGATGAGAAATATAATAGCATGACCTGATGCTAATGGGGATGATCTATTAAACAGGGAAGTTTCAGTAAGGCTCAGGAGAGCCATCTCCTGAGATGGGGCCAGTTATAGCAGTGATACTGTAAAGTAAAATGGAATGTGGCACATGGTGAAGGACGTGGTCTTAGGAGCCAGAAAGGAACATCCAAGTGTCAAAGGGGGGGGAGGAGTCTATGGATGGAGATGTGGAGACAAGTTTGATGATGAGATACTATGTAACTCTCTTCTTGTTGGCACCATTAATGATTTTTTTAGGGTTGATTTGACTAAAGGTCAGGGGAAACTCCATGGCTTGACTGTCTGTGTCTAACAGTGATGACACCTTTATCTTCAGGCTAATTTTTCTCATAAGTGCATCTTTCCTCTTGACCCAAATATTTTTAAATGTTTGTCATGAATCCATGTCTAATGTATGGCTTAGATTCCAAAATCTGTCTCAAAGATGGAAGTAGAATATAAGGTGTTTGCCCATGGAAAATTTGTTAAGTCATTCTTAAATCAACAGAACAGAAGTCCCAGAAGCTCAAAAGGCAAGAACTAATATTCTTTTGCTTTTTTTTCTTTTGCATTTGTAATGAAGATGTATTTCCCTAATTAGTAAAAATCAGGATGTAGTTTGAATGAGGGAAAGGGGTGGCTCCAGAAATTGGAGGTAAGTAGATTTCTTTCCCTGTAGCACTTGCACTTAAATTTGTCTCTTGCATAACCTGAATGTACTGTAGTAGAATATCATCCCACCTCGCAGCCCTTAGCTCACTGTAACGCTCATGTACTTCACCCATTTTTTTAAATTGCCATACATATAAATGTGGTGTGCTGCATTATTTTCTTCCCTACAAGACTTCTGCATTTCTGGTGCACAAAGAAAATAGCAACCATAAGTTCTACATTTGAAATACTGCTTTAACTGAAAGAGAAATTAAGTTAGAATGAGATTATCTTCTGAATGTGAAACTACTCTTACAGTTCTAGTTTGATCACATATAAAACTCTAATGCGGTAGTGTTTCCTTAATACCACATGAAAATAGTAGGAGAAACTCTGCAGGAATACCAAGTAAGGGAGGCATAATATCTATTTCGAATGTGTGAATGTTAAATCAAACATGTTATTCCAAAACTGCTGTGTGGCTTAGCTGCAAAAATTAGGAAAAATGAAGACTAAAGAGATCCTCAAAACTAAAAGACCTCTAGGATCAATGGTTAAAGGATTTTCACGGGCAACTGATGAGAACTGATGTTTGTCCATTTTAATGGTGCTGCCTATGGTATTTTGATTTTGTTTTGGATGAGGTATAGGGGAAACTGAGATTTAACAGTTTGCTTAATTCTGGGAGGCACCATAATTTGTCACTATAAAATAATACCCCTACCATAAAATCTTAAGAGTTAGCCGTAATATTCCTGGACACATTTAAACTAATAGCAAACTGGAAACCATTTGGTAGCATCCTAAAGAGTAGTCTGGTCCTTGAACAGCTGCCACGCACCCAACTTTAATTGAAGTAAGATCCCACCAGAGATCAAGCCCCAGGGCTTCCTATTTTTAACTAGCAACTGGCTTTGCCTCTTGGGCATGAATGCCCAGTTCTGGTGGTAAAGAATTCTCCACAAGACCCAGGGCAGGAGGAATTCATGCTTTGAGCTTGAAAGAAAAAAGGAATAATAGAGGAAAGAGGACATCAACAATGAGATGTTCTCTCACATCAAAAACAAGGTGACAGGGCTGGGGATTTAGCTCAGTGGTTTCGCCGCCTGCTGCACAAGCACAAGGACCCGAGTTCGATCTCCGGTACCAAAAAAACAAGGTGATATATTGCATTGTTTAGGCAGACTTTTGTTGGAAGTTTTGTTTAAGCTCTGCGTAGTCACATGTGTGCTCTTGCACACCTTCCACTCCCCTCTTTTTCAGTGAGAAATAGGCAGCCTCATCAAAGTTGGAGCAATGTTTTGAGATAACACAGAAATAAGGCCCAATAGTGTGCCCAACACCAGGGAAGTGCCCGATACAAGCTTGTTCTTCTGTTACTAGTCAGACTTAGCAGGATCAGCTTTATACTGAGTTCTTGACTTGTTGAGTTTAAATCTGTTTCTGCACATACATTACCAATCTGTGATGCTGACTATATTTCTTTTTTTTCTTACCTGCTCAGCCTAGGACACAGTCAATAGATACATTCCATTTGGGCATTTTATTAGAAACTCATTTAGCTTCTAGTGTTGATGATGGGCAGCTCTACTTGGGGTGCCCCATGGTTTCTGGGATGTTTCTCCTGGGCTCAGCTTCTGCTAGTGCTCAGAGAGAGTGTATGAATTGTGGCCCAGGGTCATAAAAATAGATAAACATAGACTGAGTTTCACCTGTGATCTGTGAGATACCACTCCATGTTTGTATCATGCTAGGCTTTCAAATTTAAATTAGCATTAAGACTCAGTAATGTACGGCAATAGAACCATCTTTCATTTTAGTATAAAACGTATGTGAATGTGTGTGTGCACGCATGTGTGCACACATGTGTGATCTAGAGTTGAGGATTGCTTGCTCATAGCAAAAAATAAATTATTTTTTTGCTCTTTAACGTCTACCTAAATCACAATTTTGATCCTTTAATGTGTGTGTTTTAAAGTGTCATGGGAAAACTTGAAATCAACATAGCATATAGTTGGAAACAATGAATTAAACTTTTAAGATAAAAATGACATGCAAGTATCTTTAACATGTTTAGCAGGATTTCTGGAATTCCAGGCTCTGACCTATACTTTGATCTCTGATTTTTATCTCACACTGTCCAGATTCTGATGCAAGGCAAAAATCCTGGGATAGCTTGGAAGTATGCACTTCCCAGGGCCACAAACGGAACTCATTCGGCCACGAAAAGACAGCAGCACACCTGGAGCACAGTGCAGTCAGCCTGCTCCGTCTCCTGCGGAGGAGGTAGTTGCTTCCCTGATTCCATCTTCCAAGTCTGTCTCTTCTGAAAACAGGGTCATTCATGCCACACTGCTTTAACATTATGTGGTATAGATATGCCACCAAAGAACTCTCTTTCATGGGAACCACCCCTATAAAAAGAAAATACTGTACAAGTCAAGGATTTTCCTATGTAGGAAGAAACCAATGCTCACAAAGTTCGAATCAGCCACAACCAAAGCACAAAAATAGCACATCTCTGGGGGCTGAGACAGGAGGATCATAAGTTTGGGGCTAGCCTGGGCAACTTAGCAAGACCCTGCCTGAAAATCAAAAATAAGAAAGGGCTGGGGCTCTAGCTCAGGTTCAATCCACAGTACCACCGAAACCAGAAATGTTGCACATCAGAAACTTAGATAAACTACATTTATTTATAAATTTATAAATACAAGCACATAGTTATGTCTCCAAATATCCATTCAGTTTTCAGATTACAGTTCGGTTTCTCCCGCTACTGACTTTATGTCGTTATGATCCTCCCGCTGGGACTTTAGAAGGCGGGGTGAAGACTGAGAACACACACAGGGATGACATTTCAGTCCTTCCCCTTGGGGAAGGTCAGTGCTCAGCAGGGAGATGGGTTAAATGTGAGACCAGCAGCTCTACCTTAGTAAGCAGGAAAAGGGCATTTTACTTGGGTATGGAAAATGTCACAATCCTTAGATTACCTGGTGTCTGTCACATGTGCCCTTTGGCAATTTACCCTTTGGGAAAAAGAATGAAATTTCAACTGTAGGTCCATGAGGCCAAAGCATGAAGGTTGGTGGCTCATTTGCTATTATTAGGGCACCTGGTGATGGTAACTCTTCCTATTGGGCTCATCCCACTAAATATGAGGCCTCTTAGAACTAGGGACAGGAAATGAGATTCTTATGTCCACAGGGTCTGTCTCTAGATGCTACTTAACAAAATACAAGGAAATGCTTTGCACACACGCAAAAAATTAAAAAGTAATGCATTTTATTAATAGTTAAGGCCAGTGTGCTATAAAGAAGAAAAGTAATCCCTATTATAAGTCTTCAATCAGAAATAGCCAACATTAATACTTTGGTGTCTGTCGTTTTATTTTTTTTCCTGTGTGTATACAACTACATACGTCTGATAGTCTCAGACATGTACCATAAATCATTCTGTACTATTCTTATTAAACAGGTACTATGATATAGACATATCTTTACACTTGCTCTTTTCTGCTTGGTCTCAGATGGTGAGCAGTTTCTCATATATCGAATGTTCTTGGAGAATATTTCCAATGGCTTCTTAGTATTCCAGGAAGGTCACAGTGCCTTGGGAAGGGGAGAGAGATTTGATGCATTTTCCACCCAAGGGGATAAATCCAGGCAAGGTGGGAATGGAGGAAGAGTGTGGAATTCTCCCCTGCCTCGATTTAGCAACCCCTTCGTGTGACTCAGACTCAGACCCTGATATGCCCTAGGCGCACAAGAAGGTCTAAATGAGTAAGTTCTCTGGAAATGCACCATTAACTCTGGAGAATTCCAGTGTGGCTTTGATCTGTGCCCCCAAAAGCCAAACTGCTTCAATCTAAGGAGCAGGGCTGACTGCTAATCCTTATAGCCAGCCTGACATTTTATCATTTCTCATCCTCCATTTTAAGGGAAAGTACCATGTAAATAGGTCACAGGAGAGGCAGATTTTCTGATGGCTAAAATAAAAATTGTTCACACATACAAAAATTAATACCTCTGATAGAAGTCCTGGAATAAATATTAAAACAAGGCAGAGAGATGCCAGTAATACAAAACAGTCCTAGCTGAGGGATATAAATACATATACAGAGAGTTCAGCCTCTTGCATGTAAGTATGTTATACTTTTGTGCAAGTATAAAATGCTTCATGGCAAAGTGGAGCCTTAGGTTTCCACACACCGTTCACTATTGGTTTTTCTACGAGAAACATTTTCCATTAGATGCGTGCAAAATGAGCTAAAGCTTGCTGGGATCTTTCCCTTTATAGTTGTTCTGTTTTAAGGAAGTGGTATTTATCACTGCATAGCACTAGAATCTACCTCAGTCTTGAAAATTAAGAATCTACACACTAAAATTAATAAAATATAAAATCTATTATCTTAGGGATAAATGGAATTCAAGTTAGTTGCAGCTGTATCAAAAGGAGGTATTTTCAGCTGGTGTGGCGGTGCATGCCTAAAGATCACAAGTTTGAGGACACCCTAGGCAACTTAGAGACTTGGTGAGACCCTGTCTCAAAATAGAAGATTAAAAAAAAAGACTGGAGATATAATTCAGTGGGTAGGGCCTAGGTTCAATCCCTGGTACTGGGGGGGAAAAAAGGGTATTTTCTGAAACTATTTGGATTTCATATCTTAAATAGAGTATCAGAACACTGGTAAATCTGAATCTAAACTTGGAAACCAAATTCAGTTGGTTATCTGAAATTTTTACTTTGTAACTTGTGATGTCTTACTAGGTTACATAAGTGTAAAGGCCATTTGCTTACGAGATCAAAATACTCAAGTCAATTCTTCATTCTGCAATGTAAGAACCAAGCCAGCAACTGAAGCCAAAAAATGCAATGCTTTCTCCTGCCCGGCCTAGTAAGTCATCTGAAAATGTCTTTCTGTTTATATCTGTGCCCCAATGGCTTGTTGGTATAAGATAATGAAAGGCCTATTGTCAGTACTTCTGGTTGAAAGTGATTTAAAAGTAGATGCAGTGCCTAAAAGAAAAATAGAAAGGAGGATGAGGTTGGAGGTTGAATTATATGATTTGAGAAATAAGAGCTTTCACTGGACTTTCTGACAATGCAAACTTGGGATACAAAGGTATCTTATTTTTTTAACTTTTGAATACATCTCAGAACGGAATCAAACAGATATTTAAATAACACACAATCCTATATTAGTTAAATTTACATGTGGTTGTATGCTTAGATTTTATAGAAGTTGTCCAAGAATGTAAAAATCATAATATTATGTAGACCATAAAACCCCAATGCAAATTATACAGTAGCGAGATGAAAAATAAAGAGAGATAGAAGCCAAGTGGCAACTCCCCTGCTGGTGGTGGTCTCTGGGAGCTCAGTGGGTTTGTTCTTGGATTGGTTTTAGCCACACTGTTGTTGAACACTAACTTTAAGTAATCTCCCAGCCAACTGGAGTCTCTTCTCCTGTGATTTATCTTTTGCCAAATATATTTATATAAATGAACAGAGTTTGCACATTCACCAATGTTTCAGATCATCTTAATAAGTAGTGTTTGGTTTATGGTGTTGCAGTCATGTTACAAAATCTTTAAATATATGAAAGTTTTTCTTGTAACTAATAGTGTATTTGTTGTAATCATTTTGGATTTCAGCTGCCCACCAGTCCTATATGTGTGCAATTGTCAACTCAGATCTGGAACCTATTGTATTATGCACACAAAAAAGGAGCAAGAAATGCGGAGGGCAGGTTCCTAAGGGTTCTCCTTCCCTCTTTCACTGCTAGGAAATATCTGGACCTAAGAACTATTCCAGAGCTCTAAGGTGTAATTATCAAAAGTGTTCTTGACCTGTGTGGAGTAACCTCCTCTGCAGGTGGTGGTGGTGACAGTGTGTACGTATGTGTAGAGACAGTCAATATACTTGATTGACAAGCGATAGTTTCTGATCATAAGCCTCCTTCCCAGCATTGGTTATTCCAGCAAACCAAAGAAAGGGACCTCATTTACTCCCTCCATGGGAGGGAGTATGCCGAGGTCATGCCCAACTCCTAATGCTTCCTGATGATTAACTCCATATAGAAAGGATATTCTGCGTGGAATGAATGTGCTAATTAAAAGCAGAACAGGGCCTTGCAGGTTCTGCAGAGTGGAGATGATGGTATGGGTAGGATCTTCTGTTCCCTTCCTTTTTTCTCCACCCTCTTATTTATTTTTCAGTATTTTCTGGTGGAATAATGGGGCCTTTCAGGGACCGTACTTACCTAGGGATATACTACAAAAAAAGGGTTCAGCAAGTAGACTGGAAGAACATCAAGGACAAGGGAATTTATCTGAGTTAACTTTTACTTTCACATGTATCAGTCATGTCATAAGCACTTGCTGAATGCCAGGCCCTGAGCTGAGAACTGGGTTGAGGATGAATCACATATAATTCTTGCCATCAGTGAACCCCCAGGAAGAGATAAATGTGTACAGAAGTAACTGGGTTGCAGTGAAATATGCTGATAAAAAGTAGGCAGAAATGTAATTAGGGGTCAAATGGACTGTGTGGGATCTGGGCTCTGAAGTAGTGGTGGAGAGGGACAAGGTTGGCTAGAGAATTAGCCAAATCTCCAAGGTGGAAGAGCCATATACGCTGTATGAAAAGTCTGCATTAGGCTCTTTCTAATCTCGTACAAACTTATCATGTTTGGCACATAAAGGAAAGAGACTTGAACTTGGTATAAAAATTACCATTTTATGGGCAAATATTGAAACTAATAATTCCATGTTTTCTTTACATCTCATAAGAGACACATAATTATATAAATATGAGGAATTATTCTATTTGACCTCATCTTTTTAACCAGGATAGTATGGGTTTTGAAGTTTTTTAAGAACACACATAATCCTACAACCCATGTGCATAATTTTCTCAACTTTAATTTCACACATGAGGGTTGTGGGGAAAACCAGAGGAAAAAGTTATAAGACTAAAAATATATTTGCTCTTATTGACTTGGTTTTATTTTCTAGAATGATAGAACGTTTGTAATCCAAGATCAGTTTTAGGCATTGTTACTATGAATGACACAAATGTGTAATGAGCACATCTAGTGTTATCTTTTTCCCCACAGTTTTTATTAGTGCCTCCTGCTTATTCAGATGAATGAGTTTCATTTGGGCAGAAAATAAAATTGATTTTAAAAAGTAGTTATTGAAAAGGATTAATAGTCTTCATTGATGAGTATTCAAATATACATCAAGTCTCAATTGTGAAAAAACTGGTCTAGTAATCTTTGAATAAATGTTATGACTAGTAAGAAAAGCAGCTTGGGAAACTGCCCATTAAGAAACCCCCTCCATAGACGGCCTGTGAATGGACCCTCTCCCTACGTACACACATCCCCCACCCCACCCCGCACTTGTCACCCTCCATTAGCCTTGTTTCTGTGATTCCAGCACTTACCAGAAAGTGTATTTGTTCACACAGGCATCTTTTCTCTGTGTTGTAGATGTCTTCATAGAAAGAACCCTGCCTCATTCATTTATCAATCCCAGTGCCTAGAAGAGTCCCTGACATATAGTTAAGATCCCAATACATTTGGTTAAATTAGTTGCTCGGATATTAAAATAGCATGTGTTTCTTCCTGTTCAGGAGGCAGGAGTGTGATTTTCCTCAGACTGTGTGGTGATTAGACGTGCTTCCTAAGAGCCAAGCCACATTTGCGTATGTTTCAAAATCTATAAAAAAGCAACAGATAAAAGAACTGATTGCCCTTAGTGGTTTTAAAAGGGATCTAAGGGCTTTCATTAGGAGGGTCATCATTCACAGTTATGCTTTAGAAGTGACAATAAAAGATGTTGACCTCACTGAAAGTGGTTTTGTTTGCCACTAAAAGTTGGATGCCCGGTGAATGGAGCACCTGCAGCAAGTCGTGCGCTGGGGGCCAGCAGAGCCGGAAGATCCAGTGTGTGCAGAAGCAGCCCTTCCGGGAGGAGGTAACAGCAGTGCTGCATTCTCTCTGTCCCGTGAGCACACCCACTCAGGTTCAGGTCTGCAACAGCCACGCCTGCCCTCCGGCATGGAGCCCGGGGCCCTGGTCTCAGGTAAATGGGAGGGACTTGAAGCCATGGGGTCTCAGCCCACCCTCATGTGAGACAAAGGGTATAAATGCTCCCCGCTGTCTTCACACGGATCACAGTGAGTTGACACAGGGCCTGGGGATCTGCATTTTAGCTAGTGTTGTTTTAAGTGATTCTTATGGGACCTGAAGTCTAGGACCCCATGTCCCAGAGCTTAATCCAGAGTTCATGTGGGAGCCATTTGGGCAAAGCTAATGGGTGCAGCTGGAAAGGCATTGTGTGTAGACCTGGCTGCTGAGTTCCACAAAGCAAATGGGAAGATGCAAATATGAAGAATGAGACTCAAAGGAAATATAACTCTTGCTACAACTGGAAAAAATAGAGTCACATGAATAGAGAGAGGAGCTGGCATGGAGTTTGCTATTATCACAAACTTCCAACGAAAGTAGTAACACTATAAAGTTGGAAGAGGCATAGAACCCCCTGTTATTCACAACTTAGAAATTCATTCTAAAGTAGCTCTCAACTGGGGGCAAGTTTGCCCCTAAAAGAGTTTTTTTGTCCCAGCACGGAGGGAGATGGGAGCTGCTGGATCTAGCGGATGCAGGGGCAAATGTCCTGCAAAGCACAGGACAGCTTCCTGTGAGGAAGAATAAACCTCAGAGCTTTCCTGGCTGCAGCGCTCCCACCTCTTGAACCAGCCTCTGCTCATCTGTCTGCCCTCCTTTCCTTCAGAGTACATTAGATCCTGGAGGATGGCGCTTTCATAGGGTCAGCAGAGGTCACAACAGAGGTGTTCATGCTGAGACTGTATCTGATAGGGGAGTAAGGGCCAGGAGTGGGAAAGAATATCTTTGAGAATGCTTAGGGGTTTTTTCCAAATGAAGAATGTATTTGCTTTCAGCAGAGGGTAAGGGTAATAGGACACGGTGTTGAGTGCATTCTTTTTTCCGTTTTGCATTTGGGAATTATAATTTATAAAGGGGTGATTTAAAGGACTTTGAACCAAATATGCATAATGGTCATGGAGGAAAACAAATGACTAGCAACTTAGAAACGAATCTTGTGGAAAGAGCTCTAGTTCATAGTGTTCACCTCAAATTCACATGGAACTATTTTGAGGTGTTTTTTTTTTTATTTGGTTAATGAAACCAAAGATGTCTTTTTGAGAATTTGTCCCTGCCTAATATGAAACTCTTGAGAAGGTGTTACCACAACCTGGCTTTCCTTTAGAGGTAGGTTGCAATACCACACTGATTCCTTCTAGAATCGATTTAAAAATTTTGCCATCCTGTAAAACAGAATTGCAAACATCAAATGGGAATTTCATTAAAGTAGTAATCATTTGGGGGAAACAGTGATGGCAGGCGCAGCAACTCGGGCCCCAGGTCTGGCAGCAGACCGACTCGTTGGCTTAACTCGGTTCCTTGGCTGGGGGATGGGTCCCGGTGCCTAGGCGCTGATTCCCTGAGGCCTCTTCTGTGAGGTGGGACCATAGCCTGGATCTGGTGAGGGTTGGAGGATTGTGCGATGCAGCATCCCGTGCGCCCTGCCGATGATAACCTCACCTCCCATGTGAGTGGGAAGAGTGAGAATTACACTGGGCCCCAGAGCACACCGAGAACCCCGCCCCAGCTGACTGTGTTCGGGAGAGGCCGCCTCAGTCATGGTCCTTCCTGGAAAGGCGGAGATGGTGTCACATCCCAGGAGGACAAACCCAAGCCTGGGGCCTGTCTTTTCTGTGGCCTTGGCAAGTTTGTAGCCAGGCCTCTGTAAGCAAGGAGATTCTTTGCTACTCTATCCATTTTACAGAATTCTACTAAAGGTCAAGAAAGAATGAGAGGGTCCATTGCCCACCACCTACATGTTACATAGCTTTATTCACAGACATCTGATGTGTACTCTCCTCAGTGGAGCACACAGGGCTCCGGGAGGGCAGATGTTAAGGGTAAGACCCTAAGCGCCCGGCACAGTTTCTGGGAGCTGCTGTCTAGCCCCGTGGCTGTTCCACATGTCATGTTCTATATGGACACGCATGTCTGCTCTCCTTCTCCCTGCTGCAGATGAGAGTATTCCTCATCAGCCCAGGTTCCTGCTACCTGTGGCAGAGATGGGCACACACTTTTCCCCGTGGCTTGGCCATGTCCCTTTTTCCTTATTGTCCCTGTGTGTGCCGTGCTGAGCGTCCCTCTGCCTCACAACATCCACCACTCATCTCCAGACCTAGGGGTACAGTGCAGCCACTGGGCACATGGCTAATCGTCACAGGCTGCAGTCTTTCCTGCACCTCTAGATAGATTTCTCCTGCTTCAGAGAACTTTACTGCGAATTTTGCTCCAATGTTTAAAAAGAGCTCTGCACCTTTCATGGGTCTGCTCTCAGCATTTACCAGAAGAAAATCTGAAACAGCACGCAGATGGCATCTCTTCTTCTCTTGAAGTGTTCCAAGACCTGTGGCCGTGGAGTGAGGCGGCGTGAGGTCCTGTGTAAGAGTGCTGCCGCGGAGATCCTCCCTGAGAGCCTGTGCAGCAGCAGCCCCAGGCCTGAGGTACAGGAGGGCTGTGTGCTGGGACGGTGCCCCAAGAACAACCAGCTACAGTGGGTCACCTCTTCCTGGAGTGAGGTAGGAGTTTCATGCTCAGCTCACCTCCCGCCCTCCAGGCGCACCACATTAGGGCAGGGAAGGGCTTTGTATGGATGCAGTGGTAATGAAGATTGGAGAGAAGCCAGGTCTTTGAGTTCCTGCATATGTAGCTTCAGGCATCGGTCGGGGAGGAAAGAGGGAAGGTGCCTTCTAGATCTTGGGTTTGGGAAATGTGCTTGAATTCAGACATAAAAAGAAAAGAACCTAAACCTAGCGTCGACCATGGTGACCAGTGAGGTCTCTGCTTTTATGGTGTCTACAGCCTGTTAAGGAAGATGGACCCCAACACAGAGAAAAATATCAGTAATGGGATGGGAGGGTCCCCTAGACAGGGGCTGCTCTACCTACAACACTGGCTCCATTCAGGCGCTGCCTTTTTATGCTGCCTGCGTGGGATGCATAGGTCCACATCATCTCTTGAAAAACACCCTCACTGCCTAAGTGTGTGGGCTTGGACAGGCCCTGTTGGGAGTCAGCCACCCATGTTCACACTGGCCTGGCTCTCTTCACCTTCCCAGTGCAGCTGACAATTACTCTGAAGCTCAGTGTTGCTCTTTATTGTGTAGGATATTTACACTGATACGAATTTTATTGATTTTGCTACTCTAAAAGTATTTTAAATGAAATTATAGGCATATGTATAAAGACATGTTTTCTCATAGTTATTTCATCAGCCTCTTGTTCTCCTTTCCCAGCCCTAATGCAGCATTAGATTGTTTTTTTCCCTGCCTGTCCCTTGGCAGAGATATTTGTTAAATGGCAATTCTGCCTACTCAGGTGTCTTGCAAGCCTTTTTCTTGCCTTGGCTCAGATTCTCCTCACCTCAGGGTGGCCCTGGACGTCTGAATGGGCACTCTACCCAGCCCTGGTCTCGTCCTCTGCAACTTTGCCTTTCTCTTGACCCGTTGTAGTCTTGCGATGCTGAGCTCTCTTTGGCTTTGGGCGAGCACTTGGCTGTCCTGGCTGAGGGAAGTGGCTGCTGCGTCATGTCGTCCCCTCAGGCACATGGCTGACAGAAAGTGGCTGCACATCCACTCAGCAGAGTTGACTGCTGCTGGGGACATTTACACCTCCGTCCTTCTCCCCTAGTGTTCCACAACCTGTGGCTTGGGTGTGAGGCGGAGAGAGATGAAGTGCAGTGAGAAGACCTTCCAGGGAAAGCTGGTCACTTTCCCTGAGCGAAGATGCCGCAATATTAAGAAACCAAACCTGGACTTGGAAGAAACGTGCAGCCACAGGGCTTGTCCAGTGTACAACTGGGCACCGGGATGGTATTCATCACCATGGCAACAGGTGGGTGCACACAGATTGAGAGGCTGATATCTGAGTGATACAAAGAAATAAAACAGCCCACCAAGCATTGCTCTTAGTCCTCTGACAGTTGTCTAAATGTAAAGGAGGAAGGTTTGTGTTCTTTAGCCAGCCCTACCACCTGTGTGACCCTAGGCACAATAAACCTTATTCATATCTGGAAATTTGGAACAATATCATGCAGTTGGGTTTTTGCTTTTCATAAGCAAATGAGGTAATGACTAGGAAGCGCTTAGCACCAGGCCTGTCATCTTCTGCTAATGTTGCTGCCCTTGCATTTTAGGAATGCTGCTCATAATCTCTGCTTATCTGGTCCTTAATCGTTTTTTGTAAAAATACTACAACACTAAGATTTGCCAAACCATTTCTATGTACCCTGCCTGGTACTGTGCTTGCATTTGCTCCTTTAATTCTTGAAACAACCCTCTCAGTAGGTATGACTGTCCCTATTTGGGGGCTGAGACAGATGAGCAACTCAAGCCAAGACCACTCCCTTGGTTGTTTAGTTTCTATGAGCTTGGACTGGTGAGTGCCCCTGAGTTGGAAGAACAACATCTAAGATCGTGTGGGTGTCCCTGTGACATTCCTACCCCCACTTGAACATGTGGTACAGGGCTCTTCACAGGACTGACTGGCAGGAAAGAAGCCGAGGGAATTAGCATGACTGAGTACTTCCAGTTGGCTAGGCGCTTTATGTGTGGTTGTAGGTTTCAAGTTCCTGTAATTCTGCCCATGTAACATATTTGGAAATTGATTCTTAAAAAATTTAGATCCATGGTCAGCAAACAATTGCCAGGCAGCCAAATGGGCACCCTGACTCCGTTTTTGTAAATAAAACTTTTCTGGGAGTGTAGTCATGCTCGTTCACTTCACCACTGACCACAGCTACAACAAGGCAGACTTGAGTCAGTGCGAGAGCGTTTACTACCTCATGTGGTACAGGTGATGATTTGAGGACAACCATACAGCTATTTCAGTGTTGGGCTAATCCCCCCAAATTCATACTCTTTCCACCCCCCACATACCAGGGCAGATAATGAAGCTGGTCCAAAAATGAAAAAGAAATGCTAAATTTTTTAAGTCAAATCTATTTGAAAGGCTGCACTTTTCTCTGATTTTTCATGTGTCGATCTGGAAAAAAAACACATCAGTCTTTGTTATTTAGTGGAATGCTGAAATCACTGATCTTTAGGAAGCACCAACTCACCCTGCTACCTCAGAATTTGGCTGAGCACTGGAGGCACAATTCCAACATCTCAGCTTATCATTCTTTTTCTTTCCTGGTTTTGAAGTCCATCGCATCTGCAGAGATTATCTGGAATTCTTTAAATGGTACACTTCATTTCCTAGATGTGTCTGGGTTTGTTTCTGCCTTCTTAAGGCTACTTCTGGATCCACTCTTCTTTATGACTCTCTGAACTTGGAGACATGCTCTCAGGCTACATAGCATTAGCCTAAGACCCTTCTAATCAGAGCCAACAGTTCACATGTGTCACCGGGATTGACACACCTGGGCCTGGCTCCAGCTAATCTGCTGTATCGGCAGATACCTTGGTAATGTCAAGGACATGCCTGTTGTTTAATGTCGCCGACCTCAGGAAGGACACCATCCAGCTGTGCGTTCTGATTCCCTTCTGTCTTCCGCAGTGCACAGTAACCTGCGGGGGAGGCGTTCAGACCCGCTCAGTCCACTGTGTGCAGCAAGGCCGGCCCTCCTCCAGCTGCCTGCTCCACCAGAAGCCGCCAGTGCTCCGAGCCTGTAATACCAACTTTTGTCCAGCTCTGGAAAAGAGAGGTACAGGGCCCCATGCTTATTGTGCCTTAGAGAATAATTGTTCAAGGAACAAGTGAGGGGCAGTTACTTTCAAAATGATCAGGTTCACATGGGTCTGAAGGGAAATTTAGAAGACACTGTAGTCATTCATTCTTTGAGAAAAAGTCATCTTGCAAGTCTCTTTTTAAAAATTAGATATTTTGTTAAACCTGAAAAAGTAATGCCCTTGTGTCAGATTATGCTAAGCAGTGGAAGTATAAGAGCGAAGAATAGCTGTTCTCAAAGAGCTTTAATTGAGACAGCTTACAGTCAATTGCAATGAATGTGTATTGGACCCAGACCGCACTTTCAGTAATTTCTTAAAATCAGTTCAAGTGCAGTGGGTACTTATGGGAAATTAGATTATCAGAGTAAGCTATACCACTCTTTACTAGTCCAGCTCACATCAGGAAAGATCACAGCTTTTCCAAGGCTGTGCAGTCTCTACCCTCCTTTTCCACTGTGTGGTGAGTCCAATCCGGGACTGTTACTCACACGCTCTGCCCTGGCTATATCTCTTCCCATCTCTGAGTTGTTGATTTACTTCCATGCTTTAGGATCGAGGCATCAATTTTCCTTCTTTTTCTTTCTTCTCTTATCTGGGAATCACAAAGATAAGAAAACATGTGCTGTAGCAGTTGCTGAAAGTGAGTTCTCCTCCAGTCACTGCAGGAATTCGGAGGAAGAGGTGCATGTTTTTGAGCAGTAGGTCATATTCTCTGTGAACCTCTCCCCATCAGTCATTTCTCACATCCATCCTGCAGCCAGACCATCACCAGGGAACCTACCCCATGTATAAGGGCTCAGTCTGGAAGAAAAATGCAGCCCCTTAGCTGTTTCAGGAAGCACAGAGGACAACCCTAACAGTTTCTCCTTGGCAGGAGAGTTGAGATGCATATGAGGTCCAAGATGCCAGGGAGGCCACTGGTCCTGTTGTTATTGTGCCCACTCCATATCTCATACTCAAGCCCCCGGTAGTGGTTGCTCAGTGTGCTTTTAATGAATACATGCATGAGTGTGTGAATAAATGGTGTGTAAAATCCCATAGGGTCCTCAGCTTCCATCGAAGCAGTCCACAGCATCTTTTATATATCCCCAGGACTCCTTTAGGGATCAAAAATACAGCCCAGCAGGATGCTGACCTTAAGCTACAGGAGGAAGACACCACCACATATAAGTGGTGGGGCATTAGCAGTGTTGCAGGAAGGGGGTGATTCACAGGGAGAACACGGGAATGTGCCTCTCAGCTGAGTAAGGCCTCTGTGAGAAAAATATTTTTATTAGACAAAAGTGTGAATGATAGTTTACTGAGGTGGGGATTTTTTTCCATTCCTTGCCAAGAATAGGGAGAATCAAATGCCTGAACTATCACTTGGCAGGTGACCACTGCGAAAGTCGTTAGGGTGCATTTTCAGGCAACAGCAACAAGCAGATGTAGTTCTTTCAGCAATCTCTGATACCCCCACTATGGACCAGGCATTATGGGGGTTGCAGAGGTGGAGTTTACAGTCAGCAGTTTCCAGCCATTAGAGTAACTCAAGCTGGACGCTGGAGAAGACCTTCCTGCCAGGGTTGGCGACCTTCCGGGCTCTAGCCAAGCAGCTTTCCCATCCCACAGACCATCCAGGGCCCTTCATTCTGTACCATTATCACTGTGGGATGCGACCCCGGGTCTTGACTGGATCTCCATGTTGGGCCACCATCCTTGTGAGGAGGCATTATGCATCATTTATGTGAAACCACTCAGTCTTGTCTGTCAACATGCATAATAACTAGCTGTTTGCATCCCATGCAAGATGTCTTGGCTGCAGACTAGTGAGACCAAATCAGGTTGATCAGGCTAATGGGGTAACAGTCTGGAATCCCACATCTTGGGTTGGGCAGCATCTTATGGTGAAAGGAGCAAGGACTCTGAAATCATGAAAACAGATTTGAATCTAGATCCCGGTACTTAATAGTTATGCAGCATTGGTCAAGTTTCTGTAAAACAGAAAACTAACGTTTACCTTGAAAGACTTGTACTTCAATTTCTAATACTTATTTAGCACTTTCATGACAAACTTTTTGGTGTTTCTTGATAGAAAGAGACAACAAAGCAACCAATAAACATGCACTAGCAGATGATAAAGCAGCAGCAAGTAAAACAGAGTATTCAGAAAGAAAATAAATGATGTAGGAGGAAGGAAGGCTAGCCGTATGCATCTAGGAGGAGGCAGGACTATCTGGCTCTAATGAAGGAATCTAAGATGCTTGAAGTACATTGAACAAGGTGATGAGTGGATGGGTAAGCGATAAACTCAATGTGGAAGCCTGCAGGAAGCAGTTACACACTAAGAATGCAGGCTGCCTGCAGGAGAAGGGGAACTGGTCTACCCTTTGGCAGGAGGCAGCTGTAGAATCCCAGTGACAGATGGAGGAGGTGCCACTAGCAGGGGTGAAGATTGAGCCAATCATGCTGTACCTGTTGCTTGGACTCCAAGGTCATCCTACACAGTGTACCTTGACTCACAGTAGACACTCACATAAGTATTTATTAGTAATGCAACTATTACACTGACAACATCCTGCTATAGCTCATTTTTGCTTCCGGGCTTACATGAACAGCCAGGTACTTGGTGAAACCCCATTCTTCTCTCAAGAGGGGTGGGTGTTGATAAAACAGTGAGGTTAGGACCATGGTTTCAGTGGCTGGGTTTATTTTCCTGTACTTCATTTATCAGTAAAATAATCTCTACCACCTAAAAGGAACTGATTAGGGTATCAGACGCTGTATAAATAGTTTTGCCAGATCTTTTTCTCAATGTCTAACTTGTATCTATAACTCAATCTTCTGGCGTCTGAGTGCTCATTTCAGAGAACATGACTATTATTTCAGATACTCGAAAATCTTAGTGACAGCTTTTAGGATTTTGCCCCTTCTTGTATCCTTCACTAAACCTGCCAGCAAATTCTCTAGACTCTACCTTTAAAATACATCCAGGAAAGCCTGGAAAGAGAATAATAGCTCCACTTCATCTTTATGCCTAAGTTGAGACTTGGCACAGTTTGAATTGGTTATTGTAGCCATGATAGTTATAAGCAATTTAATTTGTTGCATCAAAATGTATTAATTTGTGATAGGCACTGTTTAAAGTTGAGAATAAAACAAAGTTGACGTAGTCCCTGCTGTCAAGGATTCTGCATTCTGGAGGACAAAGAGAGAATACTGGTTCTATAGAATAGTCATAGAAAGTCTTACAGATAAAAGGCCTTTGAGCATAGACTTAAAGGCAGAGAAGTTGAAATGAGAACATGCCCGTACTAGCATCAGGGGTCAGCAAGGGTCTAGCAGGGCTGGCTGGGGAGGAAAAGGAAGACGAGATCAGGAAGGTAGGGAATCAAATCCTCAGGCCTTGTCTTCCACTGTAATGAGTGCTCCCTGGATGCCAGTGGGAGGGGAGAGTTTGAGGCAGGGGCATGACAGGAACTTTTTAAAAAGATCATTGGGAATCCTGTGAGGAGGGAGGACAGTAAAGGCTACAAGGAGGATGCAAGTTGGAAGCAAAAAGAAAAAGCACTGCTGAGAGCCACATCCAAGTGCACAATGGAGAGGCACTGAAGGGTGAAAACTGAAGTGGGTAGCTGCAGAGGGAAGAGTTGAGTGAGTAAAGGTCAGAAACAAGACTGGGGTAGGGATAGAAGAAAATTCCAGATATGAATGAGAATGCTCTACTATGCAAAGCAGAAATCCTAAATATTTTCAAAGTCAAAAATCCACTTTACATACATAGTACATTATGGGCCCCTGGCTCCTGTATTGTGCATTTATGTTTATGTAAAGAAGATTTTGCATATGATTGCACATGCATTCTTCATCTCCTAAGCCTCTTCTAAGAATCTCAGATGTACGAGATCCTGCTTCCGATGGATAATCACAAAAGGCGTCTTCATAAGTAGCTAAAGAAATTGGAAAGGACAGCTGTTATGTCACCTGTTTTTGCAAACTGGCTAGGAGATTGATTTAAACCTTCACAGAAGGTTGTAGCTCATTCTCAGGTGTAGGTGATTTCTAATTTCATCATTGGCCTACAACATCCTCGGGTGATTTTCAGAAACACAGAACTGCAGCCTCACTCTAGACCTTCTCAGTCTGAATCAATGATTTAACAAAACCCCCAGGGGATCCCTGACGTGCTGTTCTGTGGTGACTTGCAGGCTATGTAGGAGAGTAAAACATTCATCTCTTACTGGACGTGACTTTTGTAACATCTAATTTTTCCCCTACTTAGATTTTGCTCATGGTCACAGTCCCTTTTGGTATCTTAATCCTGCCCCTTTGCCATACTCCCTCCAACATACAGAGGTCCAAAGTTTTTGTTCCACAGACCTTCATCTTAAGACAAAGGCAGAGGGCCCTGGCTAACATGCTATATGTGTTTTCTCCTTTTAGAGGACCCATCCTGTGTAGATTTCTTCAGCTGGTGCCACCTCGTTCCTCAGCATGGTGTCTGCAATCACAAGTTTTATGGGAAACAGTGCTGCAAGTCCTGCACGAGGAAGAGCTGATCTTGGGGACAGCCCTGTTGCTGTTTCAGCCTCCAGAGAGACCAGACCCCTTCCATCCTAGGCTGAGTCCTGGGACCTTCTGTGAGCTGCTGCAGGGTCTCCCTTATCAATCCCCTGAGCATGAGGTACTCTGAAGCACTTGAACATGAGAAGCGATGACAAATCTGACTTACACTTTGATTTGCACTGTTACACAAAAGAAGTGATGCGTCATGCAGATCTGTCAATTTGCAATTTGACAAACTGAGAGTCTCATCAAGTCTGAGACAGTCCTCTTTCCCTCTCCTTGAACTTCAAAGGATTCAATGACACAGACATGTTTTTTTTTTTAGGAAAAAAAAAAAAAAAGGTTAAGACTTCGGGTCCAATCAAAGACCAATACCTGGCTTTTGCTTGGAGTTTACAGTTTGACCTAAACTGTGAACACCCAAAACAGGAGTTACATCAGAGGACAAATGGTGCTCACAATTGTGCTTGCTGCTGGACTGGCAAGCTTCACGTTAAATTTATTTAGTGTGTGTGTGTTTTGTTGATTCAAATATATTCTGCTTATAGAGAGTCTCCAAGACTAAAATTGACAACTTGAAAAGTGTTCCAAGGAATATGGTGAAGAGAGAACAATGCGGACTATTTAAGATCACCATGTAATAGAAATTCACACTGGGTGGGGGGAATCTGATAGAAGACAAACACTGATGTCCTTCACATGATATCCACCTCATCACTTTTGGTGCTTGCAGGGCAGCCTGGCGCCTGCTCTTTGGGAATGAGAATTAATTTGTTTGTTCATTTCTGGTAAAAACCTAGGAAGAACTAAATGGCAAAATAACCATTTGAAGGAGAGAAGCCCATCATTTTCAATGGCCCATTTGTATTACCATCGTTCTGGGAACTAAAATCTGTTTGTGGCTTTTTCCTACCAACTGACATGTCTAAATTTGCCCTAAGATTTAGTTAACGGGAAAAAAAACACTGGCAAGAGAAAAATCTGTCTTCTTGCTACATTACTATTAATAAATCACTATATGCCAAGACCCTTTAATAAGAATATTTTGCAATGTTTCAAATGATATTTTCAGTCATCAGAAGCCAAGCATTGATAGCTATTAACGAGCTAAAAATCATCCTCAATTGGAAAATCATCACCCTGTTTTGCCAAAACCAAAGCAGCTTACAAGACTCTCCTGTAAGTTTTTTAGCCGTGGTTATAAAAGGCATATTTGTATAATGCTACTCTCTTCCTCCACTTCTTTGATGAATGTAACCCAGTTTTACTGCTTCAAAATGTCTCAATTCAGACAGAGATGAGCCATCTCAGCATAACCAACCAGACAGTGGTTTGTTAAATTTAGCAGCATCCTTTGTCCCCATGGTAATTAAAACCACAAGTTCTTGAATCTCACAAAAATGATTAGGAGCTTTTCTCAGCCTACTTGGCTTGGCCTTAAGTGCCATTTTATCATGAGGAAAAAATGGCTTCCCACCACATCATCCTTCCCCTCTGAAAAATGGCAAGTTATTTGTGTCTTTATATAATTATCATTTTATTATTTTATGGAAAAGTAATTTATTAATAGCCTATTATGTGTTCTCACTTGCTTCTCTGAGTAAGTGATTAATTCTGAGGAAAAATGTTGAATAAAACCATGGATTATAGAGAAAAGTCAAAATATATGTGTAATATTTATAAGTTTTATAATAAAGTATTCTGTTTCTTTAACTTTGAAACTTAGTGGGAAGTCAGTTATTTTATAGGTAATTTAACTGTATAACTCTTGGTCAAGAATCTCAGAAATTAACTTCATCGAGAAGAGAAAAAAGATACTCAATAATGATTCTTCCACTTTATGCAGGAGGAAATTGGAAACTTAAATTTTGAGGTGGAACAGGCATGTTTACCATTTTGAGGATATACTGAATTATTTTGTTCTACTGTAACAGGCATATAAGCATTTCTGGAAATCATCTAAGATAAAATACCATAATTGGTTTTTCTATTTGAAAGGCATTTTGCTAAAAAGTTTTTGCAAAAACAAAGAGGGGAAGGGAAAGAGGAAATAAAGAAGGAAAAAACCTAAACAAATTAAAAGTAATTCTCAAGTTTTTCAAATTTTTAATCATCAGACCCATGGAGAATAAAACTAAGCAAAAGTAAATCCAGTTAATCTAAATATAGAATACTCTCCCTGACTCATATATATATTTTTTCTCATATCTGGTTTGAAAGAGAAGTTTGGCTAGTAGTATAAATTATTACTTTGCTATCAATCCAAACTGCCAATAAGAAACACAACAATAAAAACAGTATCAAAAATAGAAAAAAAATTATTGGGGAGCCTGCTGCGCAAGCTCAAGGACCCGAGTTCGATCCCCAGTACCAAAAGAGAAAAGGAAAAAAAACTGTCTCACACCTTCAAAGAAATTTTCCACAGCATAGTATTTGAAAAATTAGAGAATCTCCTGACTCTTGTGATCTCTTTCTCTCACACACACAGTCATATGCATATCTCTAAAATATATTTAGAATTTTATATGCATTATTGCTATTGAGAAAATAAATTATGGTTAAAATATAAAATGGAACACACAGCAGGAAAAAAGTATCTATTTTTGGTGCTAAAATTTTATCAGAACCAGGTACATTAGTGTTTAATGGGTGTCAGGTTCTGTGCTAAGTCCTTTATGTTTATGTTATCTCATTTAATACTCAGCCAGTTAGCAAAATACTATTACCCTTTGTTCACAGAAGAGGATTCTGGGATTCAGAAAGATTATATATTTGGCCCACAGACAAGTGGTCACCTTGAGATGGGGTCAGGATTCACACCCGGGCCCACTGGGGTTCTCCTGTCACTGCCTCCCATTATCTTGGCAGAGATGAAGGAGAACAATGGGGCCATCAAACTTATGTTGGCTCTTGGTGTGAATGGACTTGGCAATGATTTAGCAGTGATGAAGTCGGGCAGAGCTGGGAGCTTAAGGGTGGTAATAAATTCCCACTAAGCCTATCTAGTCAACAAAGAATACTTAAAGACTTGTGTTATTTTTTTTTCCTTTGGTGACAGGGATCAAACTTGGGACCTTGCACTTCCGAGGCAGGCAGCAGCACCACTGAGCTAAATCCCCAGCCCTATTTTGTAAGTCTTTGTTCCCCTCATAACTCCTCCTCGCTGGGGTGATAGTACTTCCTGGGCAATAGTGCCAGAGTGTCTGGAACTTGTACCCCCACGTCCATTAGGATGGAGAGAAGACACACAGTAGTGCTCTAGGAACAGGTTCGTTATGCTAACAGCAGGGAGGGATGATCCCCCAGTACTCAAGGAATTAAGAGCACAGAACCCATTATGGCTAAACGTGATAAAGAAAAGTCCATTCATTTATCTATTTATATGGTTTTATCTTAAGATCCCATGCTTTGTTTGCCTTATCTTTCTCCCAAGAGTTTAATTCCTTGAATAGCTCAGCAGTCTCCACTGATGCTGAGGTGCTATAAACATCTATTTTTTAAGAAGTCACCACTGGTTCTAGGAGGTGACTGTTACCTTCTTCCTCCACAGAGAACCACAGGTTCATGATGAAGCCAGAACACAGGAAAAGTTAGGCAGCTAGGGTGCAGATTTTGAATAGATAAACTGAAAGTCAGGGCCCAAGTGAGTTAGCATACCAAAATGGACCTAATGAAATGCAAGAGACAAAGAACAGGTCACTAACCAATTGGGAGAATGACTAGAGGAAGTGAAATCCAAAGGTAGCAGCTGGCTTCCAGACAGGCAAGGCCTACCTGCAACCAGGAGTATCCCTGGTTTCTGTCACACCAGTGCCAAAAAACGTATAAAGAGCAAATGGACCTAAACATCTATGGTGTCCACTTTGTGGAACACACATCTCTGACTAGCAGAGTGCTTCTCTTTTATTTTTCCTAATAAACACACACACTTGGCCTTTCCCCACCTCTTGCCCTTTGCTGTTTTATTGGCTTCAATCTTCATTGCCCCAAAACAAGGCCCTGAGATCCAGTTACAATGAGAGGTGATTCTCAAACTGCAGTCGCTCATTTACCACCTTCATGAGCTTCCTGCAAGCACATGTCACCTCTGCTCATTTTTAAATTTATCCACTTAAGTAAAAACTATTTGCTCTAAAGATAATTAGCTTCAAAAGCAAATTTTATAACTCCTTCAAATGGAGAACCATTGCGTGGTAGCCATACAATTAAGCCTGGTAAATATTAATATATAAATTGTAAATTTTACTTAAAAGTAAAATATAGTCATTATAATTGGCTTACAAAATTCTCATCTGGACAAAGAATTCCACCTTGTTAATAACTGAACTATTTATAATTCCTCAAAAATATCCAGATTAGCATCACTGAATTTAGGAGGAGGAAATGTTCTGCTGATAAGATTACCTTAAATCCCCTTCACATTTGCAAACAAAAAGCAAATTATATGCATCTAAATGCACTTTGCTGATAGAGCTGGACATTGTGAATCATGCTTTGGTTCAAGTTTTTGAGTAGATGGGCTGGGGAATTAGCTCAATGCTTTCACGGCCTGCTGCACAAGCGCAAGGACCCGAGTTCGATTCCCGGTACCAAAAAAAAAAAAGTTTTTGAGTAGAAAAGACATTCCAAGAGTATCCAGAATGTTCTTCTGATTGGGCCCAGTTATTTTTGTTTCTGCAAAGCAGTAGTCAATTGCCTTCCCTTTTCCTACACTACTGTCCTGGCGTGAAGATCTTAAAAACATACTTAGGAGGTGTCCCTCTATGTTTCCTTAAACTATGCTGAATGAGGGTCACAGCTGAATCCATAATCAGGTCATTTAAGAGAAAAAGCCAATGTCCTACTTGGTGGGATTGTACTGGAGAGATGAGTTTCCATGGTCCCCTCTCCCTCGCTCCCTCTCTCCCTAATAAGAGTGAGAAAGAGGCAGCAGTGCCCAGGAATAGCAGACCCTGCAGACCTTTTCTCCCCACTCCATCTCATCCTCTTCTTCCTCACATGGCCTTGGCACCCTCTTTAGGCCACCTCTGCCCCATAAGTGGTAGGATGTTACCTGACGTCACCCTGTGGTGCCCCGCTATGTCCACCCCACACCATGGAAACACTGTCCATCCTGGACGACGACCCTTGGTGCTCCTCAAGCCTGCATTCCCATGGCTTGTGGGCTTTGTAAGGCTGCTGTGTGGTTTGCAGAGAGGTTCTCTGCTGGGAGGACTCAGCTGAGCCCGAAGAGCTAGTCTTGGAAGGGGAAGCAGGCTCCTGCTGGAGACCGGGCCAGGCATGCTGTCTCCTTGGACTCCTCTGCCCCTGCCTCCTGTGGCTGG